GTTGAGCTACAGTCGAGCCAGCTTAGCACGGCAGTAGCACGACGTTTGAAACAGGTCTAAGAGAGTTACGCTTCAACAGGATCGAGAATTTATTATGTTTAGGTTTTATTTCTCTTTATTTGTAGTTTTGTTCTTGCGTTTCGACGAAGGAGAACGCGTACTATTTGAGTCTTTTTGTGCACCGTACATGAATTAGTAACCGTTCTATATGCCAGGCGATTTCACGGTTTGGACGCCATCTTGGACCGACCCGGCACATTTTGCCTCGATCTCATGTTTTCAGTTTTTCTCGAAACAAATCTCTGGGCAAACGATTTTAAGTAGCCCGCAAGACGTTGAGTTCAACCCTAATTTTGCAAAAAAAAGGCGACATTGCCGTGGTTAAAAATAGCGTTACACGGCCCGTCACGCCAGTGTTACCTATTCTTCGTTTTCACTGTCACGCATTAAACACGGCACAAAAAAATACATTTGAAATCGTCCAGTGGAAGAAGCCAAGAAAATGAAATGTTATAAAAGAGATATAAACAATTTGTCCAAATCTCAGGTCTTTGTGGCCCACAGCTTCTGAGTTAGTTGCCGAAACATTTCACGCGCCTTTGTAGAGCTTTGTATTGAGACGCCATATTGGTGGACAGTTTCTGTCCACCAATATGGCCGCCGGAAATCAACAAAAACATCTGGAGTTCACTTTTTCTATAAAAGCTCCTCCTTTTCACTCGAGAACTAGCATACTTGCGCATAAACATATCTTCTAATACTTGAAATGGTTAAACTGTTGAAAATCAAGCGGAGAGACTTTTTTCAAGGAGATAGCATTCCTATTTTGATGTCACGCACTGTGTCAAAAGCCCAAGAGTGGCCCCGGGGTTGGCAAATGCCCGGCCCCCGGGCAGCACAAAATTTGCAAATGCCCCACCCCCGAGATTGTCCGGGCGGGCAAATATACCACAGTAGCCCAGGGGGAGATGGGCTGGGCGCAGCTGGAATTGACTGATGCATTAATATAAACTAAAGCTACAAAACAAAGGATTGTGGTAAAAAATTTTCAGAACAGCCTGTGCTTAAATTTCTCCAGAGGCTTACTTTAGATTTTCCATATATTTGTCTGTAATTTTCCTCGGGACTTTCTTACAGACAAATGTATAGAAGATTTGAAAAACTGGTTCTAGGTCTTTTCGTGCATCTAACGCCTTCAATTTTTTGCAGTAGAATCCTTAGGAAACTTTAGCTTAAAATTCATATATTTTTTTCAGAACAGCCGTCCTACGGACGTTATTCGACATTACATTCTCAAACAAACACTGTAATTTCTCACGCGTTTGCCTACTCGTCAAGATGGCGTCGAAAACCGTGACAAGGTCTATTGTGTAAACACTTCCAATTTCGAAACGGACAAAAGTGGATATTTACAGCCTAAAGGCTCGTTTTTTTTGTACTTCTTGTAGGTTTTCCCATTGCACTGGGGTAAAAAGGTGAAACTGGGTCAATTTTAGCCATTTTGAGACACTGAACTCTACTCGCCGGCGACTCTGCGTAACAAACTGTCTCGTGACTGCACGTGACATAACGTACTTTTGAAGAGGCGGAGCCGTCAAAATGACAGTAGGGAAGTTAAGATAGAGAGGTTTTCGGGGCGACGGCAACTTCAACCGGACATGACGTCATGATTAGTGCGATATTGCGCATCCTCTTGTTCACCACCTTGCCGTCGTGGTCCCGTCGGCGACGTGAAACTAGTGGGTTTGGCGTTGTGGCGAAAACGTGAGTATCTAGCTTTCATTTCACTCAGGTTTGTTGCGTTTAGCAACCAGAATTTTGTACTTTATCGTTCTTAAATTGTCCTTGTTTTCTTTGAGTCACATTTCAAGCTCGATTTCCAAGGTCTTATCTAAATTTACATCTTTTATAATGTTTCATGTCACAGAGTCAAAGAGAATCTACCCAACATGGCAAACAGCAAACCGTAAGTGAGCTTTACATGGACAAAATTGTTCTACGAGGCAAATTATAGTAGTCAAAAGAAATATGAAAACCGATATTTTAATTGCGTGTTGTTAGCTCTTTTTTTTCGTTTATGTATCGTATAAAATAATGAAACATTCAACATTATTTAGGATAGTACACAAACGTAGACGTAAGCTTAATGCTAACGCGGGAATACTGAAATAGTGTTGTTGTTGTTGCATGCAAGTATTTCCCGAGAATTATTTCAACACCAAACTTAGAATTTCTTTGTCAAAGAGGTAACAAAACACATTTTAGTTCTTTAGCACTTGTTTCTGCTAGACTGGTAGAAAAGCTCCCAAAAGAAATATCCTTGGAAACTGAATTAATTCCTAAGTGTCTCGAAAAATTCTGTCTGGCCAAGTTTGCTCAGTAAAAGCCTCTAATTACCGGCAGAGACTTCGAATTCAATTTTTTTAAACCTTTTTCTTTTTCAACATTGCTCCCTCTTTTACAGAATTTGAAAGAATTTGATTTAGTCTATCCTGTAAACCAAAACGTGACAGGGTCATTTTCTTTACACCCTGAAACTAGGAATTTAGCCTGCACGTTAATTTCTTTTAGCAAATATTTTGGAAGCTTGTGAACGCTTGTTTGCCAGAGTTTCATTTTTTCTGTAACTAGAAAGATAGGAATGAGGCAGTCAGATCTGTTCTCCACCTCTAACTTATTTGTCTTGTCTGTTACTCCATGTTTGTTTGCCTAGATTGATTATGGAGTGGACCCCACAACATGACAGAGCCCTTCTAGATGAAATGTCTGTTAGTGAGGTGTTCCAGTATAAAAAGGGGACACCAGAAAGAGGTCAAGTTTGGGACTCCATCGCTGAAAACCTCAATGCTATGGAATACCCAAAATTTAAGGTCCTCAAGAGGTCCTGTAGAGATCGCTGGACTCTGTTGCGTGGGAAATACCAGAAAAAAAATGACAAACGAAATCAAAGCATCCGGCATTGATGTGGAGGTGAATGAAATTGATACCATAATTGTAGAGCTTATCGGGAAAGAAGATGCTGTTGTTAGCACTGGTGGCAAAGACAAGAAAAAGGTTGAAGAAGAAAAGAAGGCTGCAAAACAAATTCGAAAAAAGGCCATGGAGCGTTTGTGAGGAAGTAGCAAAAGATGTGGGGCAGATGGAGAGGTGGAAGTGAAAAAGAAAAAGAGCTTGGGCGAGTGACGTATTGTTTCGAGACCTTGTTGATCTTATCAAAACTTGTATTTTTCAACTATAATTTCCATAAGAACACAAGATCAAGACAAAAGAGGTTTGTATCAAAACAAGGTCAACCTTCCTATTGCTGTTTGTAAAATATGTTTTTCCTTCGCAAATTTGCGCAATACCCCTCTAGCCTTATCGTTATTCATCCGGCTCCTGTTTTATCTTACATAGATTCAAAACAAACAAAACAAATAAACAGTATAAAATTTGTCAACAGTGGCTTCCGTAGTGTAGTGGTTATCACGTCCGCCCCATACGCGGAAGGTCGCCAGTTCAAATCTGGCCGGGACGTTTTACTTTTTTCTTTCCTTGAAACAAAAAAGTAGAGACAGTAGTTCATTAACGATGAGAGCATGGAATTCGACTAAAGAAAGTTACATTTTTATATAATATAGTTGAATAACTTACTTTGAAGTAGTCTTTTGTCGTTTCTAGTCATTTGTGGCGATCGACTTCTGAATCAAAACATAGCATATTTCCAGGCTTTTTACAAAAAATATACGGGCAGAAATGACCAGAAACGACGAAAGAATGCTTCAATGTAACCTTTATTTAACGGAAACTCATGTTTCCTTTAGCTCTTAGTGAAAGAGAAGTTTGTTGATATTAAAGTGTTTGCATATGTTTTGTTTAGTAGCTCTTGCTCCCATGGGGAAGGCTATATCACAGTTTGTAATATTAACACAGACTGTAAATAATCAACTATTAAGCCTCTCCTGGGGGGTCTTATTTTTTTCCATTCACTTTTGAGGGGAGTGGGAAGGGCTAAGAAAAGAGGGTAGACTTTATAACTTTCTTTCCCTAAAAAGGAGGGGGCTTATTTTGAGGGGGGACTTAATTGAGAGGGGAGATGTATAGGGGATGTATAACATCATTGTGTTTCCCTGTTTAAGCTTTTTCATTGAAAGTAATTCAAGTGATTACTGATCATTTGCAGGTGGTTTTTATTTATTTATTTTTTCAATTTTAAAGAAATGTTACTTCTCATATGCTATGACAACTGAAGAGGGTCATAATAGAGCTTTTAGTGCTCTTTTTAACATCATTTAAATTCCCCCTTTTCCATTCTTACTTATTCTTAATGTGATTCCAAGGAAGCTACTTCTTTTCTTTGTTTCAAACATTAGTATTATAACTTGTCAAGGGTAATCACAGGAACAGTCAGGCAAATTTGAAACTGTCTTATAAAGGGCCCTATTTCTCTCTACCTCTAAGCAAAGTATTCCTCGAGGGTGGGGGTTCAAGCTCGAAAAATGACGAGGTCTCATTGCCATAGAGACAGGTGCGGGCATTGTACAGTAGTGCACAGACAATATACATCTTGCCAATGCTGCTAATGCCAATTTTTAAATTCTTCTTAAAATCCAAAAGCTTGAAATAGTTTATAACATCTCCAAAGAGCCACTCCACTGGAATCCTTACAGAGCTCATGGAAGCATTGAATGCTTCCAGTAAAGGAGTGAGATGAGGGTTCCAGAAAGGGCCTTGTAGGTGGACTCTAAGTGGATAGGCTGGATCTCCATATATGCACATTAGTAAGCCTGCTGGTGAAAACGCGTAAGCCTCTAGATCCTGAAGAAGCCCGGAATCAGCCAACATGCCTGAATCGTGCCTCTTACCCTCTGAAAAACAAATATCAAATAAATAATGTGAAATATCCAGGCTTTAAAATGAGTTCTTTGTGTTGACTAGTTATATATTTTATAAAAGGAGCATACCTACTGGACTATACATATTTGCAATCAGCCCATTGGGTACAGCAACCGACTGAAACTTCAGGGCGTGAACCCTTTTATGCACATTATACACAATCCTCTGCTGTTCACCCGGTTTGGATCAACAAACCCAAAGCAGTTGTCTAGTGCGGCATCTTTACCTGCGATGGCAGCAGCGTACTGTTCAAGAAATCCAGAATTTAGCACAGCAGGATTCCACTGAGTGATGCGGTGGCCATGGGTGTCGTAGATAAAATCCATCACTCGATTTGTTATCATACATAGCTCAGGAACAGGTCTTCCAAAACGCGAAATCATATCACTGAAACGACAAGGGTATGCCAGTCGTTTCAACAGCATGCATAGTCCCTCCATTCCATCGCAAACGGTTCCTTGGTGGCATTTAAATGTTCCTGGAATTTGTAAGGCATCTGCAAGCCTTTGGAGATCATTTTTTTCAACACGAAATTCTGCCTTACACTCAGCTTCATCCATGTTTACGAGCGTGAACAGATCGTAAGTGTCCCAAGGAAAATCGGGATTCTTGGACTCATAATTTTCCCACAAAACGAGAAACTCTTCATCTGATAACATGTTGTCTGCGTAGCAAATAGGCAATAATTCTCGTACTTCTTTATGTGAAGCCATGGTCCCTCATCGGTAGTCTCCTAAGGCGCCGTCCTTCTGAGAATTCACTGCGATCTTAATGTTCGAATTTTGGCGGGAAGTGACGGCTACCTCAGTTCCAGGCTTGCTCTGCCAGTCCGGTCGCCGTCGCCCCGAAAACAGGGAACTTAAGATAGAGACGTTTTCGGGGCGACGGCAACTTCAACCGGACGTGACATCATCATTTGTTGGATATTGCGCATGCTCGTGCTCACCACCTTGCCGTCGTGGTCCCGTCGGCGACATGAAACTGGTCTGTTTGGCGTTGTGGCGAAAACGTGAGTATTTAACTTTCATTTCAATCAGGTTTGTTGCGTTTAGCAACCAACATTTTGCAGATTATCGTTCTTAAATTGTCCTTGTTTTCTTTGAGGCACATTTCAAGCTCGATTTCCAAGCTCTGTTATCTAAACTTACATCTCAAGATCCAACTTGGCAAACAGCCAACCGTAAGTGAGCTTGACATAAGACAAAATTTTCCCACGAGCCAAATAAAAGTATCCAGACAAAAAATATGAACTCCGATATTTCAATTGTGTGTTTGTAGTTCGCTCTTTCGTTAGAATATCGTATAAATGAAACGCATTGAAAATTATATGGAATAGTAGGTAATACCATGTACTAACTCGGCGTGGGAATACTGAAATAAAGTTGTTGCCGTTGACGTTGTTGTTGCATGCAAGTATTTCCTGGGAATTATTTCAATACCAAACTAAGAATACGGTTCCAATTGGTAGCATTTTAATGTTCCTGTAATTTGCAAGGCTTCGGCAAACCTGTGGAGATCATTTTTTTTCAACACGAAATTCTGCCTTGAACTTAGCTGCATCCCGCATGTTTTTTAGCGTGAACGGATCGTAACTGTCCCGAGGAAAATCGGGATTTTTGGACTCATAATTTTCCCACAAAACGAGAAACTCTTCATCCGATACATGTTGTCTGCATAGCAAATATTTATTCCCTTAATTCTTTATGTGAGGCCATATTTTCCTCTTCGGTATTCTTCTAATTAAAGGCGCCGTCCTTCTGAGTTCACTGCGATCTTAATGTTCTACTTTTGACGGGGAGCGACGGCTGCCTTAGTTCCAGGCTTTCCCTGCCAGTCCGGTCGCCGTCGCCCCGAAAACGTCTCCATCTTAAGTTCCCTAACGTCTCTATCTTAGTCACGGAATGACGGTAATAACGCAACGCAATTCTTGAAAGAGTAACATACATATTCGATCGCGACATTATTTGAAGAAGAAAAAATCAAACGCGCTTTTTCTAGTTCTCACGTTTTATCGAAAAATAAGGACTTTGACAATGGTAATTCGCTAAGGACGACGGAACAGAAAGATATTTCGCATTGTTACTTTACGATCGAGGAAACTTGGAGCCGTTAAATAAGTTATTATGGTCACGCTTCACTGTTTTTACCGGACTTCGATGCTTAATGGTTTGGAGGCTGCCTAAAGAAACCCAAGCCAATTCTCAGGTATGCGTTAGATGAATGTCTAAATGTCTGAATTGAACGAGGACCGGGAAAATTTGGAGCTAGTTAAGCATCAAGCCTTTTTTTTCTAAAAGACAGCTGTGGCCGTGTACGAGCATTAGTTTCATTGTCTTCTTTTGTTTACCTGTTGCTATTTTGCACTTATTAGTGGTTAGTATCTGTTTTACGGTGTCAAGTAAAATCGCTCTAATGGATCCGCCTGTTAACAAGTCCACTATATAATTCTACAATTCCAGCGCTTAACGAAGCGATAACGGTAGTGTGACAACATCCCTGTTGTACCGCAGAGGAACCAGCGATCAGGCCGTCCTTCGTCTTCCCATTTTGTTTGGTTCATGGATTACGTGGTTTTATGAATATTCTTCTTTTTTTATTTTGCATGTAGCAAACTTGTTTCCATCATTAATGTTCGGCACTGATTTGGCCGTGTTATGTAAAAGAAAATTACCCTTACTGTAAATATATTCATCCTTGTTGAAAAGAATATGTCAAATTTTGCTTGGTCTCTTGATGAATAAACTCCCAATACAGTATTTAAGCAATGGCAAACTTTTTCCGTGTTTGCATAGTCTGATATAAACACGAGAGGGGTTGGGAGAATTCGAGACAGTTGTGCAAACCCGAGACGAAGTCGAGGGTTTGCATAACCGTCGAGAATTCTCCCAACACTTCGAGTGTTTATATCTATCAGGCTATGTAGACACCGGAAAAAAGTTCTCTATTGCTTCTATACAAAAACTTTGCGAGAAAAAACGATTTATATGGCATTGATTAAAACAGAAATTCTTACCAGTCGCAAAGTCTTGTCACAATGCACGCGTAATCAGTTCTTGTTTGTCAAAAAGATGCTTTCCAAAATACGGACTTTTCTCGCTTAAAATGTCAGCTTAAGCGAAAAAAAATGGACACACCTTGTTTGTAACGATTTTCCAAGTTTCAGCCGACGACGGAATGGGCAAATAAAGTAAACTTGTTGAGTTTTGAACTCGAAAACGTCTTCAAATTTGTGCTTGCGTGATTAGCGCGCGAAAAGCAAAACATCTTGACGCCCCAACCATGTTTACATACTCTCATGCAAACACCCCTCTCGTCCAATCAGAGCGCAGGTATTATCTTGGTTATATTATAATCATAAATATCTAGCCAGAGGAAGAATTTTGAATTTTATTTTTCTCTCCATGTCTTTTTAAATAATATTTCTCAACCTTGTTTAGGCTCAGAGTTTTTTGTTTGTTTTGCAATATATCTGTTTTACCAAGTTCATCATTCTGTACAGCTGTCGCCGCGGTTAAAAAATAATTTTAGGTAAGTAAAATAATAGCAAATAGGATGAGAAAGAACTTCATGTTCCAGGATTTATCGACAGCCGCTCAGATAGGACACCTCGGTAAACGGATGTTTAATATAATCGCTCAGTGCTCCGGAACCAATCAGGGCGTACCATGAATGATCTACAGCCAAAGCCAATGTGAGCCGATCTTGTTTTAACACGAACAGAATGGCCGGGGTAAAAAATCTGTGCAAGCAAGTTAAATTAGCCACACAACCAAACAGCACACTTTAGACCGAGTACGTTATTCAAGTTGTCTGTCTACCGAGCAATGAAGTTGATTTGGGTTTTTGCTTTCGTTTTTTCTCTCGGCGCGTTGTCTCTGTTGGCGGAGAGTATTCCCCAGCAAGAAGACACCCAAGTGCTGGCGTCAAAGCAGAATGATCCCTCGGTAAATTACCGTTCTGATTCGCTGAACAGGCTGAAGAGAGAAATCGCTTCAGGTTTGTTGATTGATCACCGCACTCAAAGTCCTTTGATCGATTCGGTGATCTTCTTTCTAGTTCGTCGCACTCATTCCCTGGCTTGGCTCTCATTTTTTTGTAGAACTCCCTCGGCCGTCGCGCTCGGCTTTCACATAGTCCCACAGCTCGAGTTTTGGGCAAGTCTCGGTTTTCCCAGACCATAAATCAGATCTCTAGCTTTCCTCTGAGATATATAACTAACTTATTGGTACTTAATTTCGCCGGTCTTTCAAAGTAAAAGTATTTTTGCGTTTTTCGCGGTTGAGGAAAGAAATGACGAAATTAAGACCTGCGAATAAAAATTCTCGCGTTATTTCAACACGCTTACCGTATTTAATACCCATAAAGAAAATTCAAATTACAGAAAAAAATATTAACATAGCAACAACATATACAAGGGTATCAACAAAGTAGGAGGAAAATTGCTAACTGATTTTACTGGTAGGTTCTATTTTCTATCTTCGGTTAAATGTGAAATAACGTTAATTTTCAAAGATTTCACACATTCTTTATTCCAGTATATCTAGAAATTGTAAAAAGTTCAGACAATTTGAGAAATAGAATGACGTTGAGAACTATTAAATCGCGAAATTTAATGCCTTTTTTTCAAATTTGCCTGTTGAAAGCGTGAAAATACCTGAAATAGTCTCGCCCAAATCGCGAAATTTGGTACCAATAAGGTACGAAACTCAAAAGAAAGTCTTTTCACATTCTTCTTAAAGTCCCAAGGAAGGTTTGAACGAGCTCTCTTATTAACCGCGCAATATACGCTTAAAAGCGCCCAACCCAAGCCGATTCCATCGGTTTGAAGCTCTTTGCCTTAAACGAATATTTTCTTATGTATTTTCTTGACACCTCAGTTATAGGTTTTGACTTGATAATGACGTTTAAAATGATTTTATTGAGCATTTCTGTTATATTTCATTTTATTGTTTATATAAGTGGCATTTTGCATCTTAATTCACTAGGTCAATTATTTTACAAGTGCAACTACTTTTGAATTTGAAGTCAGTAATGACATGAGGACATCAAAACGTCATTACACATTACAATATCGCTGATTTTTACTCTCTCAATTGTTTTCCTAAGACTTCGGTTGAGGGAATTTAATATCTAGATTCTTTAAGAAATTGCTTCTCCTTATAATTATCATAAACTCAAGCCTTACATGTTAAATCAGCTAGAACTGAAAACTCGCATGCAATCCTGCGCTTGTACCTTCCTGCAACCCTCCAAAGTTACAGCCCGATTTCTCTACTCCAATTTATCTCGGGTAAGGCAGTGAATGATACACAATTTCCTTGTTTGTATATCGTATACAGTATGTACAAAAATGTTTCAATTATTGACCTAGGGGGTGTGAAAGGTAAACTTTGATGACTTGACCTTCTCCTTAAAGAGGGGGTTCTAAGCGTTTTTAACAAATATAGAAACTGTTGTGCGTATTTTATCGAGAAGTTTAAAAAAATTTCAAGAGGATAATCGAATTTAATTTCAAATTAAAAATCAATTGTTCTTTCAGTTGGCTGGCGCAAAGTAAATAAATGGCCAGTATGTTTTGAAGCAAAAGGCAGCCAGTTCGGAAGATTTTACGTTACGGGGGGAAGATTAGCGGCCATAAAGCTGGTTCATCTGTACGGATACGTGTCTTGTCTCGCTGTAGGTCCAACTTACTGGTCCTACTGGGGCTGTGGTGACAATCAGTGGAACGGGATAAACACTCAAGTCAATGTTGTCATCACAGATTCAAACAACCAGATTCTACTCCCACCAAGTCAGTTCCTTAATACTAAGGCTGCCAGCTATAAGTGGTACAAGGTTCCCGGATATAATTCCCTCTCACCTGAGCTTGTTCTGCACTTTTTTACGTCTCCCAAATGGGTTCATCCGAACCAAGAATTACGCGTGTGGTACGGTGAAAACTTGGTCAAGGCAAACGGAGATAACGGAGGCAAAGTGTGCGCTGATGTCTATGCTCTCTTTGTGTGACATAAGAGATTCAATTGCTACTTTTTTAAAGGTTTTAAAAAATGTAAGGGATTAAAGGGAATTTTGCTATACCATCTTTCTCAATTGACTCAAGTTTGACTTTTGAACTGTGCTCGTTTCGTCTATCAATTCTCTGTTTTCACTGTCACGCCATCAAAAATAAAAATCGAAACTCCTTAAAGAAAGTCAAGAATCTAGGGAAGAAGATCAATATACAAAACACCTCACCAAAAATCAGGTCTGTGCGGTATTTCATTTGCGAGAGATATTCGGAAAGATGTTTTGCCCAAATCTATACAAAGCATCTATGGAGCCGCCATGTTGATGTCCCTTTGAGGGGCACAAATGTGGCCACAAAGAAATCAACCGACACATTAATTCATCACTTGAGGAACTCATAAAGTTGGAAATTCAAGCGTTCCTTTATCGCAAAACGAGAAACCCTTTTGAACTGAACATTTGTATACAGCTATAATTTCGAGAAAGGTTGTAGGAAAAAGTGCACCCGAAAGTTATTGTGGGTGGTTTTGAGTTCACTGTTCTTCAAAAAAATTGGAAAGAATGGTACGAGAGGCCATGGACGCGTTTGCGAGTGCTAAAGGAAAGCAACAAAGGTCGGTACGACGGCTACACTGCCAGGAACAGTGTTTTGATCATATCTCAAATTAGCTTTTGGGACTGTTCCGTGCGTATTTTTTTGCGACAATCATTCTCGAAATAGCTGTAAACAAAGGTCTTTAGCTGCTGTAACACCTCATAAAACAAAATACTCACGATAATTGATAATATTCCCTTAGTTTGAATTTTGGTGATGTCATTTGAAAACCGAGAATTGCATTATTCCCATAAGTTTTTCATTTTTTAATAAGATAGCAAAATTTAAGATTAAATGATTTTTATTCAATGTAAAAGTGCAGCAATAAAACTGATCGTAAAACGTATTTTCCGAGTTTTCTGAATTTTTTTTGCGGGGGCAAACTTCTACAATATGAGGCGCCTGTTGAAATTAAAACCTAATGTCAGACGAAACTGCTTTCCTTAAGGCTAGAGTTAAAGTAAACAGTTTAACTGCGCTGACACGTCAGAGGTAACTGCTAACCGTCTGGTGTTAAAATAAAGCTTTTGACTGGGACGTCTGCAAAAAGGGGACGGGGAGGCAGAAGGCAAAAAAAAAAGATAAACCATGCAGGCATTCACGCAGGCTATTTCAAACTACGAGATGAGACTGAGACTGGGTACGAATCTGCCCCCGAAACAAGATAGAGGAAGTTAAAAGACGCTCAGGTCCTCAACTCATTATCATGGACTCTACCAGGAGCAAACCAATCGGCTCCTGACTATACGGTGAAGCTTAGCACGAAAGGGGGTGACTTTTTCAGGTTTCAAGTATGTGAAAGAGTAGTAATTTTTCAAGTTGCAGTCAGGACAAAAGAGTAGGCGAATTAATCATTTAAGTACAGTATAACATCGACTTTAGGCCCAGGGGGGTATTCGACCAATAATTTAAACAGGTGAGCCGCTGACGGTTTGAAACCCTGACCCTGTTTAGGACAAAACCCTCAAATTTATTACCCTGTTTACGACAAAGGACATGTACACTGTTTAGGATAGACTTTCGCAAAATTATATACCCTGTTTAAGACAGAGAGGACGAAAACTATAACCTGTTAAGCGGCACATCCTAGTATAGGTCATCTAAGGGAGCAACCCCCTCCCCGGGCCTTTGGGACACCAAGTCTACACCTCTACTCATGGAACACTTCCATTCTGGGGACACAGAATTTGTTCCCGGAAAAACACCCACATAATATTTGTATCTATTACCTCTATTGAGGGGACACCCGTATTCAGGGGAAAGGGGCAGATTATCTAGGTCGCGAAACCAGGGTTTAACCTCCATTCAGGGGACACCTTAGCACTCAAAAAGTGACTGACCACAAAAAAGGTCGATATCTAGTTTAAGTGTACACTAATCATAATTATGGAAGTTTCACAAACTGAATTATCTCACTTAACCCGATGTACTGCCCTTGTGTGAATTTAACCTATAATGTCACAGAGATGGTCAGTTATTAACAAACCCCAGCCCAACCTCTATTGAAGGGTCTCTTGCGTCGGTCCTGAGGGAATAGAGGTTCCACTTTATTTCAAACGGCCTTTGAGCATTGTCAACGTTGTGTACATGTCTCATTACTATCTCAGTCTGTAACAGATGAGACCTTTAGTACACTTAGGTCCAAATGTCATTACAGACAGGACCTTATTACGCTTGGGTTCAAAATGTTATTATAGATAGGACCTTTATTACACTTGGGCCCAGTTATTACCCTTGTGCCTTCTACAGACGCTCCTTATAGTTGTAGCATTTAGTTCCAACGCTAAATAAAACTAATAAGAAGACTTCTTGCTAGTAGATACGTGAGAGGTACCACTTTTTTGTAATGTAAGGTATATAAAAGGGTAAGGGGTTGAACCTTTAGACGGAGCCTCCTTGGTAAAACTTTGCGAAGTAGTTCCCGGGGGGTGGGGGGAGGGGGGGTAGTCTCGGAAAGTTATCTCCAACCTCTCGTGAAACGCAACCTTGGTTTAGAGGAATGGTCTCAACATGAACATGAAAAGGGCCTAGTCATGGGTTCTACGTTTATCGACCTAACTAAGGCTTTTGACACAGTTAACCATGACATTTAGATTACTAATAAATTAAATAATTATTGCGTATGCCATTAAAGCTTTCCAAAGCTTAAGGACTACTTCTTGGAAAGAAATCAGCTCGTTTGCATCAATTCTCAGTCCTTTGAAGAGCTTGCCATTACTTCTAAAGTGCCGCAGGGGTCCATCCTTGGACTCCCATTGTTCATTATTGTCAATTCAGTGTACTGAACAGTTTAAGGAACATAATCTCCTGTTTGCATACGACGTGAGAATCTTTCTTTACTTTATTTTCTTTCAGTTCAGTGGCGCAAGCTGAATTCGTCACCGGTTTGTTTTGGGGCCAGAAACAGCCACTTGTGAGTGAGTAGATTGGCTACCATTAAGCTCGTTCATCTGTATGGATACGTGTCCTGTGATACACTCACACCTCTAATTGGTCTTACTGGGGCTGCGGTGACAAGATGCAGGCTCAAGTCAGCGTTACCATAACAACCACCGCCAATCGGATTCTTCTGCCACCGAAACAATTGCTCACGATTCCTTCCTTAGAGTGGTACAAGATTCCCGGATATGACTCTGTCTCGCCCAGGGAGTAATAAGCTAGGGCGTTGAAACGAGCGGGGTCGAGCGATCTAGCTGTGATGCAAGGGTCTGGGCACTACCAAAGAGACAAAACAAGATGGCGGACATTATACTAGACCGTCAGAGAGATTATCTAGCGAACGTTGGCCATTATCCCGTGGCATTATCATTTACTGCGAGCAATAGAGAGGGAACAAATTATTTTTCTCTCCCGTTCGTTTTCTGTTTTGTTCAATTTTTCCCCCGCGAACAAATATCTGTATTGAATATAGTTCCACCTCAGTGACCGGTATTAAAATTTCATGACTTAGTAAGAAAATGGCATCACAACTCAGATGATAGCACTGACATCATTTTTAGACTAATATTATCGGTTCTCTACTTCAGTTTAATATCAAGTTGTGTAATTCATCATCTGCTATTGCATTTATTTTTTGCTGCCCAGTTTGAAGGCCAGATGATCTGTTTTCACTATTAAAGTTTGGATTTGTCGGTGTACATCAGTATTCTTCTCTAAACACCTTATTGGGCTATCTCCAATATTGAGCATTACAGTTGGACAGATTGTGAAAACTTAAGTCCGGGTAAATTTAAAACATAATAAAATCATCATTATTTTTTATCTTGTACACTAATACTACTTTGCAATGAAGAATAAGTATATAAATATAATTCACTGCCCTTGAAAAACTAACAGAGGTCGCAAGAACACAAATAAGTAGCCCAGCAAATATTTTTGTTTGATAATAACAGCTTTTTGTAATGAAATGGTCACTGAAAACTACCCATGCAAGACATACTAAGGAACTTAAAAGAATCTAAACATTCACAAGTCTTACATCGAAACCAGACATTGCTATATATATCATACAGACACAACATGAAACAATTATATAACATACAAATTCAAAAGTATATTGCAAACAAGAAAATTATACAGAATTATGCACAAATGAAATACAAATGGCCTGTAACAGCTATTAAACCATTGAAAAACAAACTTTTTAGTGTGACCAGCAACCCTAGCACACTTGTATACTTCATGTCCAGTATGATTCAATTTCATTCTTGGTTAAATTTATTACATTTATTAACTGCAGCCAGGCTTAATCAAGACTTGATTAAAAAAATTCTTTCCTGTTTCCTTGTCTATAATATATAAAAATTACGAGAGAGGATATAATGCTAGAAATATTATACAGTAGTACAATCAAAAGATAAGGCACCTCCAGGAAATCGAGTTGGTCCCTACTATTCTTCAGTCATTTTCTTTTACTCTCTATAAGGGCGCTTTCCAAAAGTCAGAACTGGCCAGCCTGACCATGGTCAGACCAGACATTTTGGCAATGAAATAGGCTTTTTCCAAGAGGTTTTGTTGAAAAACCATCCCCTTTGTGCATGATATTTAGGATTTGACAGATCTGGATAGTTAGTTTTGATTAACAATGAAATTCCCATATTTATGATGGGAATGGGCTCGCGGGGCAGTTCTGACAATTGGAAAGCTCCCTAAGTGTTACATCTGTCCATTAATACAGTCATTTTGTGCCAGTCCCAACAGTTTCCATCTGAGAGCTGACTGTAGTTTGTGCAACACCACACCTAAACCTATGACGACAAAAAAACAATGTTATACAGCAGTCTTAATTTATTCTACTTACAATCAAATTAAGACCTCTTCGTGTTCTTCTTCATATTCACGGTATTATGAACTCGTTCATCTTTCAGTGTGTGTTCTAGTAGTCTTTTCAGGCCGGGCACTCACTGTTGTTCTGCAAAAAATCATTATAATAATAAATAAACACATTCTATGATTTAATTTTACAGTGGAATCTTCGTGGGGATTTGAAAGCAAATTTCTCCATAGGCTTCATTCTGTTTCTGTGCAATACAACCTTCAGATTTATACCGCAGTGAAGCAGAATTTGTTGTTGTTTATGTAAAGACTGTAACGCGAGATCATTCGAATGCAATTTTCTAGTAGAACTTTAAAAATAATCAGAACCTTCTTGGATCGCGGGTCTGTAACTAAAAAATAATATTTACCACCCTAGTGTATATTAAAAAAAGAAAAATCGCTAAATTGGGCAACTGAAATCTTTTATTTTACTAACAAGCTAAACGCGCTAACGCCAACGTACAAAACAAAAACCTTGCTATCGCCATTATATGAAGTCGTCACTTCAGAAGTAAAAAAACCTTAAAGGTTCATAAAAGTTCACTCTAAAAATTTGCATGCACAAACAAAATTTATAAAACCATTACATATTTTTTTTGTAGCCGTTTATTATCATTTGGTTTTGACTGGCAAGATAAAACGCGACCGTCAACCTGTATTATTTGATAGGCCATTTTGACACTACATAAACATAAAGGGCGAAAAAACACCTTAACTTATAAGACTAACTATAAAATATCACCTAAATATCTTCTGTATATCGCATAGAAATACGCCAAATATCAAATCTAATTATAGATTGCCGCGATTTCAAGATATAAAGCAATGAATCCGAACCTACCGTCAGCGAAACGGCGCCATTTTTCTTGCCCTTACAGCACATCGAGAGCGGAAAGCAAACTAGTTCCAGTTCTACTCCGCATCACAGCTGAACCAGAGAGCGCGTATGTGCGTTTCAACGCCCTAGCTTATTACGCCCTGGTCTCGCCAGAGCTGATCTTGTCAGTTCTGTCGACTCCCAATTGGATATCTTCAGATCAGGAATTACTCTTGTGGTACGGTGAGGACTTGGTGAATTTTAGCGAAAAGACGACAATGGAGGAACAGTATGTGTTAATGTGTATGCTCTCTTTGTTTGAAAGGAAGCAGTTATTTCCGGGCGTTGTTCGACTGGATGGAAAAAATGTCATGAAGGAAAGGAAAATCAAAGAATGGAAATGTGAAACGTGCAACCATCGATCTTTGGACGCTTCTTGATAATTGAAAAGTATAATATACAAAGGAAGCATTCTTACAAATTAAGATTACCTCCCTCCCCATGTCCTGTTACCATTTAAACAGATATCGCTCATTACTTGATTTCTTCTTACTCCCAGGGTCAATAAAACACTGGAAAAAACATGTAGTTTTATGTAGTTTTAACATTTACGTTAATGTATGAAATCCTATGGTGTGACCATTGAAATAAGTGAATTTGTTTTTAAAAGAAAAAAAAACGTTTTATGCTTAATGTGTCTGATCAACGTTGCCGTGTTACTTCAGCTGCTAGTGAGAGGCGTCACTGCCATCCAGGTTATTGCCTAATTTCATTCCGCGCGGGAGTCTGGCAATACCGGATTTTCCCGGACTTTTTAAATTCCGGTTTCAAAATGGCTTCCAAAACAGAGGGTAAAGCAAAGGTTATTGCGCGCAGTTGAAACGTTATTAAGGGCCAGATTACTCCAGAAAGTTAATATTCTACAGCAAAGAATAGTGCTGTTGTTTTACGCTATGCAGAACTTCAATTAAAAACCTCGAGAAAAGAATGATCTAATCGGAGACTTTCGCTACTTGGAAGTGTTGGAAGGATTCCCCAATTGTTTGGCAAAAAATTTGAACAAAGAACCGTCGCGTTTACCTTTTTTTACGGCGCTGGATCCAACCGAATATTGGGGAATGATAAGAGAGTGGGTGTACCTGTTTTCACCAACCGTAAAATAAAAACTTCCAAAAAGCAAAACACGCCAGAGTGACGCTGAGTGAAAGAGCAATGTCGTATTACATTAGGTTTTCTCTCCGTCGCTGCGCACGGTCTCGGTAAAAAATCCTAAAGATCTGACCATACACAATTCTAACTGAACATAGATAAAAGCAAGTATACTTCAGTCTTAAAAGAGAGGCATTTCTCGTCCGGTAACACTGCATTTCCTGTGACCAGACCTCATGCATTGAGTAATGTTACAATACAGAAGTAATTTTTCTTGCGGGGATAAATTGTATATAGTACATAGTTTCTTTTTGAGGTCTCTGCGTGTGATTCTGTACCTTTCAGTTACATTGCAATTCTAGTAATTTAGACACTACTCAAAACATGTATAGATGTAGGCCTTGAAAATAAATTCTTCCCTAACAAAATAACCCAGTCGCCCACCTACACCACCTTTATTTTATAAGGTTAATTCATAGTCTCTCCAACCACTCCGTTGGAGAGACCATGGATAATTGGACGGCCCCGGAATATAATTTTATGCGACACATGATAGTCCTAGTCCATGAGAGCCAAAAATTTACACTTTGCGTTCCTCTGTCTAAGAGGGAGGCCAAAATAAGAAATCAGGTCGGAATTTTTGTGTTCGACAAGTTTACTTTTTCATACAAGTAAATCTTGGTGACAAATCTGGTTGCGTGTAAGCCAGCCTTTTAAATGTATACTTTTTATACATCATGTCTGAGGAAAACAGTACTATGAGGCGCTTTTTTTATCATAAAGACCTCGGAAAGAATTTTTTTTGCCCTATTTAAAATTGTAATTCTGCAGTTCTTCACAATGTTGCAAGACAAATTGCACTCATTCAATCAGTCCAGAACGATCGGAGCACGTGCTTCCTTTGCACAACAAATTTAATTAAAGAACTGATCACATTATAAAACGTTTTCATGAAGAGAATTCAGCATAATGCAGGGGTTTTGTCATTGCGTTTCGACGAAAGAGAACGCATACTATTTGAGTCTTTTTGCGTACCGTACATAAAGTAGTAACCGTTCTATATGCCAGGCGATTTCACGGTTTGGACGCCATCTTGGACCGGCCTGGCACATTTTGCCTCGATCTCATGTTTTCAGTTTTTCTCATCCGAGAGCTGGTATCTATTTTGTGACACTCGTTCGTTCACAGATGAAACGTTGGCGTTTTTCTGTTTACTACAGGTTTGTTTATAGTTTTTCTCGCAGTTTTCAGTTTTTTTATATAGGAAAACTTCCATTCTAAGATAATCGGATATGTAGATATTATGTAAACGATGCGTTATGCACACTGTACTGTATTTGTTTTTATGTATCGATTCAAGCAAGATCAGCCTAGATCGACCATATTTAATTCTATTACAAATTACATCGTTTCTCTTTTAAAAGCTATTTACAACGTTGTATTTGCTTTCGTTTGTCACAGTTTTTTGAAAAATATACAAGAAGTTGAACAGTGAAACGTTGACCTTTTCATCACACTAATTCCGGGTGCGTTGAATGAGGTGACTCGTGTTAGCCTAGAGTTAAGCAGCAAGGGTTTAAAGTGATACTCGACGCTTAAACTTTTCAGATACTTTAATTTTCTGTATCCCAATTTTTAGCCAATTTTATTGACCATCCTAGAGTGCAGAAGGATATCCTAAGGATGATAGTCAGTGTTTGACCTGTTGTTACATACAGGTACTTTCGATCTATACGTGCCATATATCCTCATATTCAAAATTGTTATCGTGCCTTCATTTTTCTATCACTCAGTGAATTTAAAAATTGCACTTGGACAGAATAAAGAGGAGGCAAAGTAATTCGTTTGCGTCAGAAGACGTCGAAGAAAAGTTGTTGGAATTGTAGTTCACAGTCTGATTCCCTGAATAAACAGGTAGATAAGTTTTGATTGCGTTTATATGAAAATAAGTCAGGTTAAAAAGTTAAACGGATGTACAAGGATTTTGTGGCTCAAAAATTATATATTGTTCATATTCTCACATCTTTCCTTCACCCACAGGCAATGTCCATATTACAGTGATCGAAGGCCCGCCCGAGCTTTCCTGGGCCAGCCAACTTTCTACCGCCTACGAGCCAGGTAACCCTAGTACACCACGATGGTACAGGTAGGGTCACCCTCCTAAGCCACGTTGAACTAACACTTTGGCGTATAAATAATAATAATAAAATAATAAATAATAAATAATAAATGTTATTTAGCCAGGGTTATCTCTTCAGCATAAAATGCTGCTATCAATGAGGGCCCTGGAAAAAAAATAATAAAGTAAATATATATATATAACTAGCCTAAATTGCAGTAACTAAAAATACACTAAAAGTTAAAAATTCAACAAGATTAAAAAATTGTTGAAAAGGCTAAAATACAGCAATTAAAATACATTTAAAAGCTAAACTAACACAAAAACTTAACAATTAACTATAAAACTTTTGATCTATATAATTCCAAAATACGAGGTTTAAAAATCACAACTGACTTAGAATCCTTCATTTCACTTGCAATATTATTAAAAAGTCTAGATCCATTAAAATAAAAAGACTTCCTTGCCGTCTCAGTTCTGACTTTGGAGAGCAGCAAGTTGTGCCCACTTCCCCTCGTGTTGTGGACTGTTCTAAAAAACTTTAAAATAATCTTTTAAAAACAATGGAGGGGATCCCCTCAAGCATTTAAGAGTCAAATTAATAGTGTACATATCACGCCTCATATACAAGGGAAGCCACTTTAAATTCTTCTCGGCGTATGAATCTTTGGTCTTCAAAACAATCCTAGCTGCCCTTCTTTTTTCTCGATCTAACTTATCACGTTCTTTTTTCCCAATGCTGCTCCAAGCAACATCGCAATAATCCATAACCGGCAGAACAAGAGACTGATAAACTTTATCGGCTGCATCGACAGTTAGATTGTTTCTAATACTTCCGAGGACACCGATTCTCTTGGAAATCTTAACCAATAGCTTATCCACGTGTTGTTTGAAATTGAGATTTGAATCTATTAGCACACCAAGATATTTGTGATGTTGTGCTTGATTTATCGGCTTATTCCCGAGGAATAAGCTAAATGGCCCATCTGAAAGGGTAGCCGAAGCGATTCGTTGTTGAGTGCCGAAAAGAACGTATTCGGTCTTCACAGGATGAATGCACAGCTTATTAACATGGGTCCAGGAATGCAACTGTTTTAAATCTCTATTCAAAACGGTACTTATGTTTCAGATATTGGAGTCAGCGTAGAAAAAGACAGCATCGTCCGCATAAAGTAGGATCTTTGACTGAAGTAAACAGTTGGGCAAGTCATTGATGTAAATCGAAAACAAAATCGGACCAAGTATGGACCCTTGTGGGACGCCACATTTTATCTGCTGAGGTGCAGACTGTACGCTGCCATAGACAACAGATTGACATCGACTCGTAAGGTAGTTCTTAAACTGACCTCAGTTCATGGTTGTTGATACCATACCCAGGCAGTTTCGTTAGGAGAAGTTGGTGATTTACACTGTCGAAGGCTTTTCGAAAGTCGACAAACACCATTGCTGTAACACAACCTTCGTCAATGCCTTTCCTAATACAATCCGTGAAGTATGTAACCGCGTCCTGGGTAGAATGATTTTTTCGAAAACCACACTGGAAGGGAGATAGCTGACTGGACGTATCTAAATGTTGGAGGAGCTGTATTTGCACGGCTCTTTCAAGAATCTTCGAAGCCACCGGTAAAACGGAGATGGGACGGTAGTTATCCATACCCTTCTTATCCCCATCTTTATAAAGTGGAACCATCCTTGCATATTTCCATTCCTCCGGTAAAACTGCAGAAGAAATCGAGAGATTTATTATGACTGTTAGCGGAGCTGAGATGCCTGGAGCTTCATCCTTTAGTAAACGGGCTGGAATTCCGTCAAGTCCGGTACCTTTCGATGTTTTAAGCAGCCTAAGTTGACGATGAACAAACGCAGCTGATACTGGTTTCAAAGAGAACAAAGATTGACTTGAATTAATCAAACATGCTTCTGTGCTCAGTTGGTTCCAGTTAAGAGGTGGAATACTAGAAAGCAGAAACTCTTGTATCTGGACCTGTGTAATTCGGTGTTTGTCCTGCGAGCTTGGCGGTAAAAATGATCTCTCTCGGCCATTACTTT